TCAAGGATATTTCACCTGTGTTTTAGAATTTGCTGCAAATTAAAAAAAAAACAAAGTAGGATGGTTTTCATTCTACTTCATAATTTAAGTTAACCATCCATATACACAATTAAAGAAATTTACATTTACCGTTGGGCTAAATATGTAAAATGTGTAAATGAGAAATTTGTAAATTTTCGTTATAGGTAATAGTGACACACATAATTTTCATGGACTAACCAATTGTCATGTTAGGTGTTGGACATCATTTGAGCTTCCCACCTATCCTTGTCCCTAGTTTTCGCATAATATTATGGTCATACCAGATACTATGTGTATATTTGTGCCTTGTACTCAAACTATTGGTAGCCAGTTTTAATTTTGAAATATATAAAGTATTCAAGAAAAAAAACCCATTAAGTATCCTCTATAAAGTAGGGAGAGATGACAAGATAGTAAGAGAGATGAGCAATGTTTCACATATGTATGACCTTTGCCAACATTTCACCTTGAAGGGATACCAGAAGGTGAGCACTTCTATTGGTGGGGATGTATAAACAGGTTATATAAACTACAGTACAGTACTGTGACACAAATAGACTCAAAGGTTTTTATTGCATCAGACTATACATACAGACCTATATATAGTACCAGGCTATACATACAGACCTATATATAGCACCAGACTATACATACAGACCTATATATAGTATTATACTATACATACAGACCTATATATAGCACCAGGCTATACATACAGACCTATATATAGCACCAGACTATACATACAGACCTATATATAGTATTATACTATACATACAGACCTATATATAGCATCATACTTTATATACAGACCTATATAGAGCACCAAACTGTACATACAGATCTATATATAGCACCAGACTACATACAGACCTATATATAGCACCAGACTATACATACAGACCTATATATAGCACCAGACTACATACAGACCTATATATAGCACCAGACTATATAAGGTATATATAGCACCAGACTATACATACATACCTATATATAGCACCAGACTATATAAGCAGACCTATTTATAACACCAGGCTATATATACAGACCTATATAGAGCACCAAACAGTACATACAGACCTATATATAGTACCAAATAATATATACAAACCTATATATAGCACCAGACTATACATACAGACCTATATATAGCACCAGGCTATACATACAGACCTATATATAGCACCAGACTATACATACAGACCTATATATAGCACCAGGCTATACATACAGACCTATATATAGCACCAGACTATACATACAGACCTATATATAGCACTAGACTATACACACAGACCTAGGTATATATAGCACCAGACTATACATACAGACCTATATATAGTACCAGACTATACATACAGACCTATATATAGCACTAGACTATACACACAGACCTATATATAGCACCAGACTATACATACAGACCTATATATAGCACCAGACTATACATACAGACCTATATATAGCACCAGACTATACATACAGACCTATATATAGCACCAGGCTATACATACAGACCTATATATAGCACCAGGCTATACATACAGACCTATATATATAGCACCAGGCTATACATATATATAGCACCAGGCTATACATACAGACCTATATATAGCACCAGGCTATACATACAGACCTATATATAGCACCGAACTATACATTCCCACCTAAATATATATATATCATTTTTCACCATCCGGTCTGAACTAACATTCCAGCAGAGCATTATTATTCACCAATGAGTCTGAACCTAACATTGCAGAAGACCAGTATCATTCAGTGTGGAGAATATTAAGGTACTGATAAAATTTGAGCTAAAGAGAATCATAATTTACTATTATATGTAGAACACGCCTCGACTAATCAATTTTTATCATCTTTAGTGTTGAGCTAACAGGGCGTCAAATTCCAGCCTATTTACAACCTTTTAGGTTTTTGGCGTAACCCTGCAAGCGTGCATGTAAATCTTCACATATGAATATTCATAAGTTTTAACACGCAAACACAAGTTATCTGGTCAGGAATTGAGATGTGATATTAATTATAACCCATGTCAATTTTTTGTGTCAGTAGGTCTGGCAAGACAGACAGATAAACTAGCCACACCCAGTTTGTCTACATGTCTAAGAGCTTATAAACACATATGTAATTGTTGTTATTTTTACAACAAATCATTCCTACAATGCAAAAGTCCATATAATGCAGATGCTTACACACCTCTTTTTGTACAGATGTATGGCTGTTGGACGCCTAAATCAAATATGTAGTCTTTGATCGGTACAAGTTTCGATGTTACGGCATGACCAAATTTTGTATGAAAGGAAAATGAAATTTAAACTTCATTTATTTTACACCGATTGCAAAGTAAGCTATTTTAACTTATACTAATCACGCTTGTTGGCCCGGATGTAAGCGTGTGAGGGGTCTATCATACTAATAATGCTTATTGGCCAGGATAATCGAACCCCAGATGGCTTGGTGAAAGACAAGCGAGTTCCCATTGCACTGCCCGACCATATGAAATGAATCAATATGACTGTTCAGGTATCAAATGTTGTAATACCCCCCATATGACTTAACTTTCCAATCAAACTCCCAGCTGTGAACCCATCAAGATATATATAGCAATAATCTAACTTAGTTTAAATGAAAAACATTCATTATTGATAATGGTTCGTACCATAAACGATGACTGAGTTTGTGTCAACACAGGCCGCAGGTCTTATAAGATGGATGTAGTAAGATAGAATCAATTCTACGTCTCTATCAGGTAGATGGTGTGATTGAGATGTGTGTATAGATGGTGGTTGGTAATTGTACATACAGATAATACAGCTGTATGTATAGATGGTGGTAGGTAATTGTACATACAGATATTACATCTGTATGTATAGATGGTGGTTGGTAATTGTACATACAGATATTACATCTGTATGTATAGATGGTGGTTGATAATTGTACATACAGATAATACAGCTGTATGTATAGATGGTGGTAGGTAATTGTACATACAGATATTGCACCTGTATGTATAGATGGTGGTAGGTAATTGTACATACAGATATTACAGCTGTATGTATAGATGGTGGTAGGTAATTGTACATACAGATATTGCACCTGTATGTATAGATGGTGGTAGGTAATTGTACATACAGATAATACAGCTGTATGTATAGATGGTGGTAGGTAATTGTACATACAGATACTACAGCTGTATTTATAGATGGTGGTAGGTAATTGTACATACAGATACTACAGCTGTATTTATAGATGGTGGTAGGTAATTGTACATACAGATACTACAGCTGTATTTATAGATGGTGGTAGGTAATTGTACATACAGATACTACAGCTGTATTTATAGATGGTGGTAGGTAATTGTACATACAGATACTACAGCTGTATTTATAGATGGTGGTAGGTAATTGTACATACAGATACTACAGCTGTATTTATAGATGGTGGTAGGTAATTGTACATACAGATACTACAGCTGTATTTATAGATGGTGGTAGGTAATTGTACATACAGATATTGCACCTGTATGTATAGATGGTGGTTGATAATTGTACATACAGATATTACACCTGTATGTATAGATGGTGGTAGGTAATTGTACATACAGATAATACAGCTGTATGTATAGATGGTGTGAAAGAATTTTATTTATTTGGGTTCAGACCCCCATTTAGAATAATGCTGGTCTGACGGAAATATTTGGTTCAAACTCTCATGTTGTAAAATGCTGATCTTTATGTGTTAAAAGTGCTTCAGACATATATATATACTTATTATAATATCCATGAATTTATTTCATAGAAAAATTACTTTAGTAGAGGTTTCTGCAGGAAAAATGTCTAGTATGGAGAAAGTGTTTTTAGTTAGATGTGTATCTGGTGTTCCTGTACTCATGGATAGTTAGTAATGTCCTCGTATTCATCATCGTAAACATTCTTAGAGGACAGCAGATGGTCACATCTGAGTGAACACGACTGTAAAATTACTCGTAAAACAATAAGCAGATTTGCAATCACCAGACCTGTGTATAGATGCTTAAGCATAGGAAGCATGTGATGGTTACTATGAGAGAAAATGATGTTTGATAAATTTTCTTTGATTTAAGAACTATAACATCTCCTTTAATAGTAGGCTCTCTATTGATAAAGTCACAGGTTTTCCTCAGCCAATGTTACATATAGGTTTCTTACATTCTAAAAACATAGATATTTCACAACCAGTGACACAGATATTTCACAACCAGTGACACAGATATTCCACAACCAGTGACACAGATATTCCACAACCAGTGACACAGATATTTCACAACCAGTGACACAGATATTTTACAACCTATTACACTTTTTATTAGATTAACATTGCCAGAGTGTGTGAATGTTTTGGCCTTTGAATATTTTAATTGAATTTCAATCAGATTAAATGCATTAGTTGCCATCTTTACCATAAGGTAGAACTGACCGTGGTACATGTGTATAAATTCCATTCTCTCTTAAAGCTAATGATTTAATTTTCATGAACAATTCCTCTCTAATCTTTATCTCCTCTCCTCTTGAAATCTCTCATCTTTATCTCCTCTCTTGAAATCTCTCATCTTTATCTCCTCTCCTCTTGAAATCTCTCATCTTTATCTCCTCTCTTGAAATCTCTCATCTTTATCTCCTCTCTTGAAATCTCTCAACTTTATCTCCTCTCCTCTTGAAATCTCTCATCTTTATCTCCTCTCCCCTTGAAATCTCTCATCTTTGTCTCCTCTCCTCTCGAAATCTCTCATCTTTATCTCCTCTCCTCTTGAAATCTCTCATCTTTATCTCTTCTCCTCTTGAATCTCTCATCTTTATCTCCTCTCCTCTCGAAATGAAATATATATTAAATTATATACAGTGATAATGTGTTGCAGATAGGAATGATGATGAAATTCTGCTTTCTATTTATCATGTTTTTACTTGTTTATTTTTCAGTTGGGGAGGATGGGAACCAATGCTCTTCTGTGCCCTGTAAGAATGGGGGAACCTGTGTGGATGGTTTTCAGTCCTATACCTGTCAGTGTCCTCACCTATTCAATGGCACCAATTGTGAAAACAATCTCAGTAAGTTATCTCCCCTGAATCATAGCAATCTTTATACATTGTCACCATTATCATGACTGCCTCAGTGGGTTATCTCCCCTGAATTTTAGCAGCCTCAATTATCAGGTTTCCCTCTATGTTCTACCTAAGGAAAATGAAAATTATAAATCATAAAGTTTTGCCTTGGGTCTGATTGTGACTGTTTTGCCATTTTTAAGATTTACTTGCGGTAAACCTACAGTGAGCTGAAAAGTACCTTATGACCAGCATTTTAGAAAGATAAATTCATTTGAAAGTCAATACCCTTCAAAATTATGAAAGTGTAAAATTACTCAGTCAACAAATAAGCCTCATTATGTAGTGTGTCATTCCACACACAAAAACATGAAAATCATGCCTGAAAAATTATAATTATATAAATGATGTGAACATTTAGATATGTGCTGTTTTTGGGATTGATCAGGAAAACAAAATGAAATGACAGATGACCATTTTGGATTGGATACTGAAAAAAACATTCAATTTCATATATTATAATTAAGACAAAAAACAAAAAAAAGAAAGAAAAAAACAGAAAAAAATCTAACTTTTAAAGAACAAATAAATATTAAACAATGGTGTACATCAAGATCCCTCCCCTGTCCCTTGTTTCATGGATGTTTACATGTGTATATGTAAATAAAATTTCAGTCTATATTTATCTACAGGTATATATGGCTGTTCTCTCAGTCAATTTTTATCTACAATTACAGGTACATATGGCTGTTCTGTCAGTCCTTGTCTCAATGGAGGTAGCTGTGAAGATGTAGAACGCTCACAATCCACAAGTAATCGTAACTATAGGTGTAACTGTGCGCCAGGTATGTTATACTGTTGACAACTAGATGTAAAAGATGTGTAAGAATTTGATATAAGTCAGCTGAGATTTTTTTAACAATGGTACCTTGTGGAGAAATATAATGCTTAAAAAACAATAATACATCTTAAATTTAAGAAGAATGTTATTTGTTTTCACAGGTTTTACAGATGTCAATTGTCAGGTGAACATTAACGAATGTGATAATGAGGATGCCTGTCAGAATGGTGGTTTATGTGTGGATGGAATCAACTCCTTTACCTGTAACTGTACATCACGTAAGTACTAGGGGGGCAAATTATAGGTACTAATGTAAGTACAAGGTGGAGGTGGGGCAGATAGGTATACCATTTGTACCTTACATAAGTACATAAGTAACCACGAGGGGAGACAGATACTCCCTACATACCTCACATAACCACAAGGGGAGACAGATACTCCCTATATACCTCATATAACCACGAGAGGAGACATATTCTCCCTATATACCTCACATAACCACGAGGGGAGACAGATACTCCCTATATACCTCACATAACCACGAGGGGAGACAGATACTCCCTACATACCTCACATAACCACGAGGGGAGACAGATACTCCCTACATACCTCACATAACCACGAGGGGAGACAGATACTCCCTACATACCTCACATAACCACGAGGGGAGACAGATACTCCCTACATACCTCACATAACCACGAGGGGAGACAGATACTCCCTACATACCTCACATAACCACGAGGGGAGACAGATACTCCCTACATACCTCACATAACCACGAGGGGAGACAGATACTCCCTACATACCTCACATAACCATGAGGGGAGACAGATACTCCCTATATACCTCACATTACCACGAGGGGAGACAGATACTCCCTATTTACCTCACATCACCATGAGGGGAGACAGATACTTCCTATATACCTCACATAACCATGAGGGGAGACATATACTCCTCCTGTCCCTCAGTAATTGCTGTGTTGGATATAACAATACAAGTGTTAACATTGCTTTTGCAGGGTTTGAAGGTGATCGTTGTGAGACAGATATCAATGAATGCCGACGATATGCCGGAATCTGTGGTCCTGGAACATGCTTCAACTATGAAGGAGGCTATGACTGTCAGTGTCCAGTAGGATATGATAATTTACGGAACTGTTCTCAGGTACAATATTTACAACAGAAATGTTGTGTATAACTTTAAATATAATTTACTACGGTAAACTCCACTAAGACAAACCCCTTGTTGCCATGTCAATAGTTCGTTACCGTGTCAATAGGTCAAGTAATACAGGGTATTTGTGTAATTAGAGGTTGGCAACATTGTAGTTTAAAGAAAATTCTTGAATTTTACTGAGGAGAAAGTCATAAAATTTATCATTTACAGCAAAATGTAATGGTCTTATTTCAGCAACGTTATGTGTTGAGAGTGTTAGAGTGTACAGAGAGTGTTAGACACTGAGAGTGTTTGACACTTGGAGTGTTAGAGTGTGAGACACCAAGAGTGTTAGACACTTGGAGTGTTAGACACTGAGAGTGTTAGACACTTGGAGTGTTAGACACTGAGAGTGTTAGACACTTGGAGTGTTAGACACTGAGAGTGTTAGACACTTGGAGTGTTAGACACTTGAGTGTTAGTGTGCGAAGTGGGACACAGTCGTGTATGACACAGGTGACATCACCATGAGGGTTTTCTGACCAGACTTACTATATACCTCACAGTAACCTTGAGAGAGACATATATTCCTGTCCCTAGGAATTGCTGTGTTGGATATAACAATTTGTTTTAACATTTTAATTTTGACAATGTTTTCAAGGTGACATGTATTTTAGACAGTTTTTATTCAATGCTGTTGTATGCTGTTAACAGTGGTCCTGGAACATTGCTTCAAAGAAGTGTCAGATGGGGGTCAGTGTCCAGAGGTAACAATTTACAACTGCCAGTGTGTCAATATTTACAAAAGAAATGTTGTGTATAACTTTGACAACTGCAAGGATGTTGTTGCCATGTCACTGCCCAGACAACACCCATGAGTGTATCTGTAAACCAGGATATTTTGTGTAATTAGTTGGCAACATTGTAATTAATATTGCCTTGAATTTTACATGGAATGGCAAGTTATGTGTATAGTGTTAGAGTGTACAGAGAGTGTTAGACACTGAGAGTGTTTGACACTTGGAGTTTCTCTAAGTGTTGACACTCAGCATGGAGTGTTGATAAAATTTAGTCTGGATTACAATTAGACAAGAGTGTGAGACACCAGAGAGTTAGTTTGGAGACACTGAGAGTGTTAGACATAGTGTTAGTTGGAGTGTTAGACACTAAGTGAGACACTTGGTTGGTGTGAGTGTATTAGTGTTAGTGTGCGAAGTGGGACACAGTCGTGTATGACACAGGTGAAGTATGGTGACTGTGACACCTGTTTTCTGACCAGGCAATACTTACTTAACAGTCACCTTGGAGAGAAGCAATATTTTCATAGGAAAACTATGTCAGCTTAATAATTAGTTTTAACTTTTAATTTTGACAATGTTTTCAATCATGGTAACATGTATTTTAGATAGTTTTTATTCAATGCTGTTGTATCTGTTAACAGTCCCTGGATGATTGCCTGGCAAAGCCGTGTCAGAATGGGGGTACCTGTCAAGATGGTAACAATTCCTACACCTGCCAGTGTGTCCTTGGGTACACTGGTACCAATTGTGAAACAGACATTGACAACTGCAAGGATGTTGTTTGTACTGCCCAGAATTCTGTCTGCCGTGACCTAGTCAACACCCATGAGTGTATCTGTAAACCAGGATATTTTGGTAAGAATCTGTTATTGTAATTAATATTGCCTTGTCCATAGGAATGGCAAGATATGACTATAGTGTAGCATGTGTTGGTCCGTTTGTCAGACCTTTCTATAAAATACCACAGAAGTCAGCATGGATGTTGATAAAATTTAGTCTGGATTATCAATCGGCAAAGAGAAATAGAGAGTCTGACCCCCTGGACATAGTGGCAGTGTGATGTATTAAGTGATTGGTTGGTGTGATGTATTAAGTGATTGGTTGGTGTGATGTATTAAGTGATTGGTTGGTGTGATGTGTAAAGTGATTGGTTGGTGTGATGTATTAAGTGATTGGTTGGTGTGATATATTAAGTGATTGGTTGGTGTGATGTGTTATGTGATTGGTTGATGTGATATGTAAAGTGATTGGTTGGTGTGATGTATAAAGTGATTGGTTGATGTGATGTGTTATGTGATTGGTTGGTGTGATGTGTTATGTGATTGGTTGATGTGATATGTAAAGTGATTGGTTGGTGTGATGTATTAAGTGATTGGTTGATGTGATGTGTTATGTGATTCGTTGATGTGATGTGTTATGTGATTGGTTGATGTGATATGTAAAGTGATTGGTTGGTGTGATGTATTAAGTGATTGGTTGATGTGATGTGTTATGTGATTGGTTGGTGTGATGTATTAAGTGATTGGTTGGTGTGATGTATTAAGTGATTGGTTGGTGTGATGTATTAAGTGATTGGTTGGTGTGATGTATTAAGTGATTGGTTGGTGTGATGTGTTATGTGATTGGTTGGTGTGATGTATTAAGTGATTGGTTGATGTGATGTGTTATGTGATTGGTTGGTGTGATGTATTAAGTGATTGGTTGGTGTGATGTATTAAGTGATTGGTTGGTTTAGTGATTTCTTTGATAGCTAAGTGTAAAGGATTATTTGATGTGAATTATTTTTGATTTATTGGAACTGTTGATTGAATTGGTTGATTTGGTTTATAAGTTATATTACTGGACATTAACTGTTAACAGGTGTACCATGTGAGGATGTTGATGAGTGCGAGATGCAGCCCTGTAAGAACGGTGCCAACTGTACGAACCTGGAGAATGACTACAGTTGTGCTTGTTTACCTGGCTACACAAACAAGTCATGTGACGTCAACATAGACGACTGTGCCACAAACCCATGTAGAAACGGAGCAAGGTTTGTTCTATTGGTGCTAGCACAAAAATGTTTTGTAAACAGTTGAATAAGGAACATTTGAATAAAGCTGAACTTGTTTCACTTACAAAGCTGTGTGAATTTTAACAGTTCCTGTCAATCAAGAGTAATTAAGCTGTAAGATCGAAGTAGTTTGATGACCTAGTCAAATTTGATATATAGAGATTACGGCTGGTCAGCAATGGTGGATTGAAAAAGTACACAAACTTATATTTACTTACATAAACTATAACACTTTTGACTAGCAATTCTTTTTGTGACTTTGGTGTTGTAGCTGCGAGGATGGCGTGAACAGCTTTACCTGTAGTTGTTTACCTGGATACACAGACCCCACCTGTAACACTGATATTGATGAGTGCCAGACATTAAATGGTCAGCCCTGTCTGAATGGTGCCACATGTAGAAATGAGGTAAATTATCTTGTTTCATTTGTCACATGATCATCTGAAAAATCATCTTGATTGGATAATTCCTGAATGTCAGAATATTTTTCTATAGTCCTGGTGTTGATTGTCTGACTTTTATTATGCCCTTGTCAGGTTCTCTGTGGGGATACGGGTAAATGTTTTTTGTCCTGTGTTATCCTGTCTGAGTTGAATCTTAATGTTATCACATACCAGTTCTGTTTATAGTAAATTAGAAACAGATCTGCAAGGAGCAGTTGTATTAATATTTAGTCTGGTTTCATCAGATGCCTGTTATCTTCAAAGATCTAAAAATTAAAAGAAAAACAATTAAAATCTCTGTGTATCCTGTTTCCCCTTTCTCACAAGAGATCATTCTAAAATAATGATTTGACTTGAATCAGGGTCAGTTATATTCTTGTACTTAAGGTTCTTTTGGCAGTTGCTGCAAGAATGAAAATAATCACAGATGTTCTATCACATCACTTAAGCATGTCTAGCATGTGTTTGATTGGTTGCCATGGTTTCTTGTGTTACTCATGAAAAGGTGTTATTGCTTCATGTTTAAGAGAACTGGTATTTTATTTTGATATCTGTGTGTATAACAGGTCAACAGGTATGAATGTGACTGTGTAGCTGGCTGGACTGGTAGACATTGTGAAACTGACATCAATGAATGTGCATTACACCCATGTGAAAATGGTGGAACATGTCACAATTACCTCAACTTCTACAACTGCACCTGTGTTACAGGATATACAGGTAAATTATCTGTGTTACAAGGTATACAGATAATGCATCCGTGTTACAGGGTATATACGTAATATACCTGTGTGACGGTATTAAGTAATTATTGTACGTAAATAATTTTTATCGTTTCTTTGGGTTTTTACTGTTGAAACAGTTTGATTTTTATCATGAAACTTGTATACAGATCTGATATGTTTTGTATCATTGTCATCAACTGGTTCACTAAAGGTCAATTTTAATGTAATTATTGTACCTTATCTTACAGGTGTTAATTGCAGTGTAGACATTAATGACTGTTCCCCAAACCCCTGTCAGAACGGGGGAACGTGTAATGACAGGGTGAATGGGTACTGGTGTGACTGTCCACCCACGCGGATGGGTAAGACGTGTAATCTTACGTATGATGCATGCTCGTTTACGCCATGCAAGAACGGAGCCACATGCAACACCACGCCTCCCAGTCGAAATTACAGCTGTGCATGTGTTCCAGGATATACTGATAAAGACTGTGGCAGAGATATCAACGAATGCGCTTTCCATACTTGTCAAAGTCCCCAAATCTGCTTCGATCTTATTAACAACTACACCTGCGCATGTCCCACCGGTTTGTTTTTTCCGTGTTTTTATGCTTTATGTCCAACTTGTTGATTAAATGAGGGTTATCAATATCATTCACTTAAATCACAGGTATCATTGTAACATTTTACATCAGAACAAAAGAGTAGATAATTTAATACAAGTCCAACATAATATTAGAGCAAAATAGTGGATAACTTGTTACAAGTTGATCATTATATCAGAACAAAATAGTGGATAATTTGTTAGTGGTAAATCATAATATCAGAACAAAATAGTAGATAACTTGTTACAAGAAAAACATTTAACAGAACAAAATAGTATAATTTTGTACAAGTTTACTTTTAAATAAGAATAAAATAGTAGATATTTTTTGTAAAAGTAGTATATAATATCAGAATAATAGTAGATATTTTATCACTTGTAGCAAGGACGTCAGAACAAACTAGTAGATAAATTGTGGCTGGTAGCTTTTATTGCAATGGAGATTCTAAATGTGACAGCACATGTACTTCAGTGTGTGATAATTATTTATTTACATCAGTGTAAATTCAGGCAGAAAATATAGTTGTTGTAATAGGGACATCACTGACATAGTGGTAAGGATGAAGATTCTGTTGATGAAAAACAACATGTGTTTTATTGAGGATTGTCAAACATGTGAAATTTGTCACAACAAATTCACATTACATTACAACAATAGATGCATTTGGTAAGGTTGTGTTTGGTATAGTGCTGGGTAAATATATGTGTGTGATAATTTGCATGGGTGAAAGGTACATATTTATAGGTTGCATGAGGTAAAAATTTTCTGTTCATTGTTCCTGGTCCAGTCTGTTTAATCTGTATGACCCTTTTCCATCATCTACTGCTGACAGAGTTACTTCCCTTCCATATCTACAGATAGTGATACATCACAGCATTGTTTATCCAATACTCCTTAATCTAAACCCAGATTTTCAAATCCAGATACTATCCAGTCTTTGAATTATTGGAATCTATGTGTTTTTGATGACATATTTCCTAATTATCAAATCTCCAATCGTTTTGCCTAGTTGCACAATGCATTTAGATAAGTTCCTTTTGGGTGCATATATTTAATTTGTGCTATTTCTTAATAACTAAATAAAACCAAGATTAAATGATTTAATATCATTTTAGCACCTGAATGTATTTATATGATTATAGAGTTTTACCCTGGTGCAGGTTCCTGATAGTATTTCTGGGAAGAGGTCCAAAATTCCTTCTATTCTTTGAACAGGTTGTCACAAACACCCAAATTAATGATGAAGCATGTTTAGAGCACCATCAGATGGTAATATCATAAGACTTAAGAAAATGATCACAAACACTAGTACTGTCTACAGATAAATAATCATAACACATCGTCTACAGAAAATTTATTCTTAGCAGTACTGTCTACAGAAAAATAGTCCCAAACACTAGCACTCGGTCTACAGAAAATAACCCCAACACTAGTACTGTCTACAGAAAAATGATATCCAAACAATAGCACCCGGTCTACAGAAAATAACCCCAACACTAGTACTGTCTACAGAAAAATGATATCCAAACAATAGTATTGTCTACAGATTGAGTCTGTTACACAGCAGAATCAAGTTTTTGGCCATTTTTTTTTATGTCTAAACAATAACTCCAGATACAACAGGAGTTTAATACAAGGTATAAAATTAGGTTTGATCATTTTATGTAGTATTAACCTCTCTACTTTTGGTTCTGTGTTTTAATTTTTTTAGGGGAAATCATTCTATTAGGATAACAGTTTCAAATTTTGTTGAATTTTGTACTAATCTTGTGTATGTTTGTATGATTAGGCTATACAGGTGAAAACTGCTCAACGGAGATAAATGAATGTGACCCAAACCCCTGTCAGAATGGGGCCACTTGTGAGGACAAAGTTGGCTATTATATCTGTCACTGTCCTCAAGTTTTCTTAAACCTAACGCGGTTCGGAAATGGAACGAAACTCGAGTTTGACACTGGCTACAACGGTACGAACTGTGAGTACAGTATAAACGAATGTGACTACCACCCGGGGGTGTGTCTGAGCGATGGGACCTGCGAAGAGGAGGAAGGGTTGCCAGGATACCTGTGTAAATGTGGTCGTGACAAGGATGGAGTCTACAGAACAGGTATGCCACTATAAAAGTGGAAACAGGATATCTAGATATCCACACAAGTACATGCTTACCATTATCTTTAGGTCAGAATATATCTTTAATACACACACAAGTACAAATGTATATATACTGCTATCCTTAGGGTAGTCAGAATATTTAACCTTCCAAAGAAGTCCTCACATGGGCGTGACATTAACAAGGATTTGTTTGACTAGAGACTACATGGAGACAGTAATACTACTGTGACACTGGGATTACAAGGTTTAAATCTGGAGTTTGTATGGGTATATTAACTATCAATGTCCTTTAAGTTTAATTAGTCGATGAAGAGTCAGAAGGATTTCCCAAAACTCAAAGGACAAACATTCATTTCAAAATTTGATGTAGAATTTGGTCAAGATAACAAAAATGTCCATATTTTGGTAATACAAAAAAATGTAGTTTATAATTTTTTATTAGTTGGCGTTTAGGATGAACAGAGGTATATATATATATAAGGAAAAAAGTAGGTATATAAATAATTTGTAACTTAGGAGAATAAACGCTTTGAGATATTAAGTATCTTGATTTTTACTGTTTCCTTTTTTATACCAGGTCAAAACTGTGATTTAAGAACCTCCTATTGTGAAACATCAGATGAAGTAAAACGTGATCCTCCTGCATGTAAATATGGTGGCACCTGTATACCAGGGACCACTTCCTTCACCTGTAACTGTGTCGCAGGTTACACAGGTAAGTTAATTCTCAGGACCAGGCCACTTAACATGTAGTTAACATCACAGAACATTTATACAATATCTATTAGTGATGAAAACATTATTTATGAAGAGTTAAAAACTATAGATAGATTTAATCTTGGTGTGATCATTTATTATTTTCTTGGGGAAGGGGGGAGGCGGCTTTCAAATTTCAGGTGAGAAAATTGAGTTTTGAGGTCATTGTTTTCTAACAATTTGGGGAACATTTTTGTCTCTTTTAAGAGTGATTGTCAAATGATAAAGCATTGTCTGTGATGATCATATATTGGTAATTAAAATTGCATCTGTCAGCATTTATCCTATCGGTCTATCAGATGACATCATCCATGTGGAAATCTTGATAGCTAGTCCACATCAAAAAAATCCAAAAGCCCAGAAGTGTCTTAAGAAAATAAATTTCGAACACTAGCAATGTTTACCGAAAAATTATTCCAAACACTTGTAATGCATACAGAAAAATGATCCCAAACACTAGTATCTGATCAACAGAAAAATTATCCACAAACGCTAGTATCTGGTCTACAGAAAAATTATCCACAAACGCTAGTATCTGGTCTACAGAAAAATTATCCACAAACGCTAGTACTGTATACAGAAACATTCTGCTACACAGTTAAATCAAGGACACCTGCACTTAAAAATCTTTGTGGTCGATCAGTTAGTAAAACTTATCTACTCATTCACATTAAATGTAGATCGTAAACCTTAACCCGGCTGCTGATTTATAAATCTGTACAGATTATAATGTACTTTTTGTGTTACATGTAGATCGACGTTGCGAGACAGACATCGACGAATGTGCATCCAATCCCTGTCAGTATGGTGGTACATGTCATGATAGGGTGGCCGGCTACAATTGTACGTGTATCCCAGGAATCACTGGGCCCAACTGCGAAGTAGATATCAACGAATGTGAGTCCTCGCCGTGTCAACATGGAGGTCGCTGTAACCACTCCATCAACATGTAAGTTACAGTATTATATCATTTTTAGAGTGTGACAGTTTTCTTATTGTACACACGTACACGGAAACATTAAAGTGGGTTTTGGCAAGTTTGCACCATCTTTTCTTAGTTGGGGGATTTACAGTAAAAACCTTCAGTATCTTTCATAGTAAAAAGGTAACTAGAAAATCATAGATTATTTTATAGTGATGATTAAAAAATCAAATGGATGACAACAGTTATACAACATGTTTCTAATCATTTTACTTTCTCAGTTATTTATTTTCACATCATCTGAGCATCAGTGCTATTTAAAGCACTGAGCGAATAATTGCTGTATTTTTATTATCTATTTTTTTTTTTCAAATATTTAACAAAAGAAAATTTTGCAATGTTTTACAAGTACATTTTAAAAACCATGGGTGACACCAAAAACGAGGGGGAAAATGCAAATATCATAAGTTGTAGAATGACAGTTAGGATTTATTTTCTTCACATATTTTTCACCTTTTTATATTGTGAACTACAATATGTGCTTCTGTTTTCACGTTTTAATTGACAGTGCTTGTCTTTGTTGTAATTTTTTAAATCACAGGCGTAAAAGTCCAATTTAAAATTCTATTGTATTTGCATTAATTGCTTGTTACATACTTTTGATACCATTTTTGTTATTCTCTTTGCTTATCTCTTCGTTTTTCTCCCACCGTAGCCTCCATGAGATATATCACCGATACAGAGCAAACCTTAGTTATATAGGGTAGGATTTTGGTTCTTGTCTTGGTATTGTGATGCTGCTCCCAAAAAGCATGATTTCTTTGTATTTTTTCACTATTTGGTTGCAGTTATTTTCCTTTGAAATTTTTTTTTTTATTTATTTATTTTGATTTTTTTTTTTTTAGTAGAATGCTTAATTCTTCCTTTTTTTAAAATTTATTTTGCATGTGTACTACTCTCAGTCTCTTATTATATAATTATAAAATATAATTACAAATATTTCAAGTAATCAAAATATACATAAAAGTGAAAGTAGTTTGATATAGTGGCAGTCAGTTGTTGTTGTTGTTGTTGTGAATACAGGTGTCGTAATGTTGTTGTGATAAGAAATATTAATTTACCTGGAAATAATTTATTAAAAAAAAGTCATAAATATACAAATACATTGTATTTATTGTATGTAAGTGTTATTTGAAAAGGAAGCATTCAGCCTTTTGCACCTGTCTGACATAGTGCCATTGAGTTTGCTAGAAACATAGTACCAGTCTGGTTTTCTGTGCTGTAACAATATATAATAGACTTGATGAGGGTTGGAATGTGAAGTTCTGAGTCCCCGTAATCTCCTGACAAAACTGTCCTTTGAGGAAGAGAAGATTTCTGAAGACCTCATCAGTGCTTGGAAGTCCCTTCACCTACTTCAGTCATCCTTAAGATCCTTCATCTACCTCACCTGTCCTTTTCATGTCCTTCATATACCTATACTGTATTACTTTTCAGGTACTTTACCTGTCTCATCTGTCCTTGGGAGTCCCAGTCATTACCTACCTCGTCAGACATTTGGGGGTCCTTCTTCAGCCTCAACTGCGTTTCTGATTTCTCCAGCAGCTCTATATGACCTTGAAAGTCATCTTAACTCATCTCAACCTGGGGATCTTTTACCTACCTCATCTCAACTTGGGGGTCCTTTACCTACCTCATCTTAACTTGGGGATCCTTTACCTACTTCATCTCAACTTGGGGATCTTTTACCTACCTCATCTCAACTTGGGGGTCCTTTACCTACCTCATCTTAACTTGGGGTCCTTTACCTACCTCATCTTAACTTTGGGGTCCTTTACCTGCTGGACCTGACCTTGGGATCACTTAACAGCTTCACCTGGCTTCAGTGTGACCTGTATAACAGGTATTGTAGGGGAATGCCAATCAGAGAAGTGACTGCTTTTTGTTAGGTAGACTGTTTGCTATGCTGTGATCAGCTTAGAAAGATTTGATACACTATAACATCGAAGGAATGGTCACCTAAACAAACCGTTTGGAATGCTTTATAATTTACACTGGTCATGACAATGCCTGAATTACCTGCATGTTCTCCAGTCAGATCAAGTGTTCAATCCTTTACTACTCTGGAGGAGGCAGGTTCACTACACTACCATTACACAGTTGGGATCTTGTGTTCAATCCAGAATGGTTAATGTTTCTTACCTCAATATCAATACTCATCTTAAACAAGTTTTTTCTTTGGTCCACCCTCATCTACAAGTTCAAGGTCACAGTTGCCTTTAGGACAAACTCTTATGATTGATGATGAAATCATCTTCAAATGAAGTGCCACTATTAAGTGATTTGTATCTTGATATTCAAAGGTCAGAGGTCATATTAGCTCATCCAAGGTTGAGTAGATTGCCAGTCAAAATTTATGTTAATTTATGAAAAGGTTAAAATCTTATGAATGCTCAGCCAAGGCTTAGAGTTCATGTTGGCTCATCCAAAATCACGTTTGGTTTGAAAATTATTAGTAAGAATTGTTTGAATTTTTACTTGGGAATGCAGCCCTTTTGAAAGGCATTGCATGCAGACTTACCATAATTCCTTAAGATCTGCCTATATCACTAACCGGTTTTATTGTCCACTCTCTTAAAAATCTGCATAACAATCAGGGTATACTTGTATTAAAGATAATTTAATAATCAAATTTACAGGTATTTGGGGAGTAATGTGGGTAACTGGGAAATATTGTGGGCATAGTGTGCAATGCTTGCTGTGGCATATGTAGAGTATGCAAAATTTTTTCAGGCTTTAGCCTTAAACATTGCACAAGTTCCCACCCATAACTGTTAAATACATGACCTTGAAGATTAACCTTTCCTGTATGTATTTACAAGATATTTTCTTTGAAAATAGTGAAGAACCCATTGTGACTTTGAGTTTTGACTATTGTGTTCAGTAGTATATAAATTGAATAAGGGATGGATGTTAACTTACATTTCTGCTTTGATAAAAAACGTTAATACAGAAATGTTTACCATAATGACATTTTTTTACCTTTTAAGCTTAAAATAGGTGACCTTGTGTTAACTTTGTTGTTGTAACACAGGGATTTGTGTTTGTGTCCTGACTCAACCTAATTATTTCATTTTGAGTTACCACAAGTTATTTTAAATAAACTGATATAATTTTTGCCGATTAGTTTCAGAAACTGATTTCGTTTAATATTTTACCATAATCTTAGCTACAGTTGATATCAGTGATTCAATAATATTAAGTTTAAGTTGTGTTAATCTATTGTTGCAGTTTTTCTTATTAAGTCTAGAGGTATCAGATGTATAACACTGTGGTAAACATTAACAGGTATGAGTGTGACTGCTACGATACTGGATTCAATGGCACTAATTGTGAACTTAACATTGATGATTGTGCGTCCAACCCCTGTATGCATGGCTCCACCTGTCAAGATGGAATCAAGGTAGATAACTCCAGAATTGTTTTTTATATTACATTGTGAATTACCTTATTCTGTCAGTAACTTTCAGAAATAGACTTTTTTTTTATCTAATGATTTTTTTATCCTTTGTTGAAATGTTTATTTACTTATAAGCATTTGAATGTAATAGTTGTGTTTATAATGATGGAATGTGTTTTTTAACAGGACTACAATTGTTCCTGCTACGATGGCTACACCGGTAAAAACTGTGAAATTGACATCAACGAGTGTCTCAACAGTCCGTGTTATTACAACAGCACCTGTCTTCAGCGCTCTAATCAGACTCTATATGAGCCGAACTTTGACCTTCCAGGCTATTCCAACTTCTCCTATGCCTCGGCAGCTGGCTACACCTGTGTCTGCATCCCAGGTATCACAGGTGTGTAGAATTAAAATCACTCAAATACATTGTACTAAATCCACTTGCAGTGACAACTGAATAATACTTTCTTGCTAAGCTGATCTGGCCCCACACATTTTCTCAAGGAACAGGAGGAAGTCATCGGCTAGGATGTCCTGAAATTCCTTGAGGAATTTTCATACAAGATATTTTCAAGGAGATATTAGCTGAGGAAAATATCGACTTGAGGAAATCTCAAGTTGAGATGTTTTATACAAGTGGGGCCTGATGATCCTGCAAACTTGAGATGTAGTAAGGTATCTATCATCCATTGCTAGTTTGTCCAGAATAGATACATAAGTCTTGACCAAACTTGTTTTGGAGAATTGTGTCCCAATTTCGTTCAAGGTGTTAAAGTTCCCCTGGATGCAGAGGAGACCAGCTATATAGAGGAAAAAGAGACAAATATAACGTTCTCCAATTTCAAATATCTTTTAAATAGACAGGATTTAATACTGCAAATAATGTGCTTCCATTTAAAACCTCAAAGTAGTTGAATCTTAAATATTACTTTCATGATTACAATATTTCTCTGATTGCTTTACTATTCAGGTGAGTTGTCTAGTCAGAAGATAAGTCAAGATGAACTGTAAGTTCTGAAAAAAATTAAAAAAAAAAGATTTACATGTAGATTCCTGAAAAAGTACACACAGAATGAAATCTGTTATGATTAAATAGGACTGACATACCAATTGTATGGTAGATGTGACCATTGTGTTAATTTGAGTTGTCTTTCCTTGTTTTATGACAGGTGAGAACTGCTCTGTGAACATTGACGACTGCGTAGAGGATAACTGCACTAATGGTGCCACATGTTTAGATGGTATAAACAAGTATAGCTGTCAGTGTGCACCTGGTTACAAAGACATCTACTGCCAGACGGATATAGATGAATGTCTGGAGTATCAGCCCTGTCAACATGGCGCCACCTGTACTGACCGAATCGCTGACTATCACTGCACATGTGCAGAGCTTTATTTTGGGAAAAAATATGACGGAAAGAACTGCACGTTTGAATTAACAGCATGTAACCTCAATAACTGTCAGAATGGTGCTACCTGTGACCCGTTTCTACGTGATGAGGCCTCAGGTGACCAGGCCTACATGTGTGAATGTCCTAGTGGATACACTGGTACTTACTGTGAAAAGATCACAAGTGGAACCTTCAACAATTCACGATTTAAGGCTTCTCTAAGGTCCAATACGACAAACACTATCGAGTTTCAGTTTGCCACTACACTGCCCAATGGCATGCTGTTTGTGTGGGATGGCAGTTTTCCCTCCACTAGCACATTTGTTACAATTGAGTTGGTTGAAGGGCGGATAAATATGAGCTATATCCTAGGTAACGACCTATCATCAGCCAATATGAGGACGGTAGGATTTCCTTTCCTATTGAATAATGCTGATTGGCACACTGTAAATCTGTGGCAAAGAGCTGGAAAGTTAAATCTAACACTGACAAGCAGTGTGTGTTCATCAGAATCTGAATGTACTAAGGAGGTCAGTCATTCTCCCAACATAGCAGTAAATGAAGTTTTTTTTGGGAGAGGCAAAACTGAATTTATAAATGATAGTACCCTTTCTAAGACAAACTATATAGGATGTCTTCAGGATGTGACTCTAAATGGGGCCATTCAGATTATTTCGGAAGGGGAAGCCATTTCTGTAACTAAAGGATGCTCTCGGACCGACCAGTGTAACCCTGATCCTTGTAATGGCAATGGAGCTTGTACTGACCTCTGGATCTCATACAGGTGTGACTGTTATCGACCACACCTTGGGCTCACCTGTAATCAAGGTATGTAGTGTTACCTACTGCTAATTAAACTGATGACAGAGTTGTTTAGTCTTAAAGTTTTCTTAATAGTTTTTTTTTCTGCGCTGTCAAAATTCTGTAATGAAAGTAAAACAATTACAACAAACACAAGGAAGAACTTTATATTTTTATACACTAAGTTTGACATTCATTCTACTGGGCTTCTAGTTAAAAAACATATCCAAGCACACACATTGTACCTGGATTCTGTGCCTGAATCATCAAGAACAGTGCTTTCTTGGAGTTATCTCTCTTGGCCAGAAATCCTGGATCATTTTATGTATTATTAAAGTGATGACAATATTTAATAGTAATAGGAACAGTTCACATTTTAATTTCAATTTGAATATTTATGTTTTCGTTGTTATTATAGTATGTTTGAATGCAATGACATTTTAAAATCTTATTTTGTTTTTCAGAATATGTTGCAGCAACATTTTCATTTGAAAATACAGAGTCCAAAGCAAGTTTTCGAATTCCAGATAGTCTCAAGTCAACTCTGACCTCTGACATTGACCTTTCTGTTTTTATGAGGACTAGGGAGGCCAATGGCTTTGTAGTGTTTTTCGGTTTTTACGGCAGCGTTGCCTCGAATCGGACATTCCTCACTCTAGAGATGTATGGTGGAGCCCTTGTCAGTAGATTCGTGTTGTGCGACTTCCAGAAAGTTCTATTTGCTAATAATACACAGTACAACAGCGGTTATCAGCATTTTGTCAGTATGAAATTCCACAACAGTCAGTACTCTATTTCTGTGAATAATACAGCCTTAGGTAGTGTGTTTATCAATACGCAGACTTGTCAATTTAATGCAGATAAGTTGTACTTTGGGGGAGAAATTCCAAGAACAGGTTCTAACGTTATCGCAGAGACAGCCAGGGTGAGGAGGTCGTTGGACCCAATAGTGAATGAGATTATAAGTGATATTGGTAATTTTAACAATGTAACAAATTATAAGGGGACTCTCCAGGATGCACAGCTGAATGAGAAAAGCCTGCAGTTCATCCCTCCAAGTGATCCGTCCATCGTCAAAATCGACTCCATCATGGTAGAGGATAACTCTACCTTGATACAAGGGGAGCAATCCGATGACATTTGTAGCTTAAACATACCGTGTCGCCACAATTCTTCCTGCACCAATGTTTTCTTTAATGATTTTAGGTAAGTTTATTTTTTTGTAACAATTTTGGGTCAGTTTTGTGGTATCCCCATCTTGTTAAATTTCATACTTTAAGCAAATTTTAATAATTCTATCATTTTTTGTAAAAGCGATTTGATGGTTTGCAGCATGCCATCAATTTTCTGGTTTGGATAATTGATCTAAAACATATTTACAAGTAAATACAGCTGTTATTTTCCTCCACAACAGCTGTAAGTGTGAGAGAGGTTACCGAGGAAAGGACTGCGGAGAATTAGATTTCTGTCATCAAGATTCCTGTCCACAGGGAGCAACTTGCAAAAGTCTTACAGATGGATTTGAATGTAAGGACCAGTATAATTGTATCATCTGTGTACATTTTATTATCATCATTTACAGTTTTTGTTTTTGTTAATTACAACATAAAAATGAAATTAAAAGTCATTGATGTTGTGATGATTATAATATAACAGTATTCATTGATTTGACTGAAAAAATTCATACCAAACTTTTTGAAAGAAAATAAACTAGTTCATTACTAAGACTTTTTAAAGTCATACATACCTTACTGAATTATACATCTGACCCCTCCCCTGTATGGCAACTATTAGAGGTCTGTGGTATTGATCATACATCATTTTGACTAAGAGATGTTCTTTGGATCTTTATGCTCCTGGATCAAAAGATTGTGGGTATAATGTTTTTGTGCTGTCTGTTTGTTTGTTGTAATCTTTAACCTTGCCCTTTACTATTGCACTGGAAGAGGTAGGGCTTTCATATTTGGTATGCATGTCCCTTGTGGCAAGAAGTTTCCAGTTGTAACAAAATTTCTGACCCTGTGACCTTTACCATGACCTTTGACCTACATTTGGAAAACATTTTACATTGGCCATAAATTATTAAACTTAAAGTGTCAAATCATTGCCAAAATGAAGAAATAAGTGTTTCACAAAGTGTACATGCAATTAGCACGTGCCGAGCACAGTACACTTTTAATGTCCCACTTTAGAATTTTGTTGCAACTGGGGGCATAGTGTTTCATAAACACATCTTGTTTGACCTTATTTTCAACTTTTTTCCAGCAAAACTGACCTTGAAGTTTTTGAAAGCTCACAGCTCCGTAAATACACATACCACTTCTGTCTTCTTTTGTTTATAGTGATCTGAAATGTTTTTTGTAGGAGTGATATTTCAGCAAAAAATGAGTGCAGAAAAATTCATAGTCATGTTGTCTTTTCTTACAGGTCTGAGTACAACACTGTTCAACCCAAGTACAAGCTCCATTACATACAAGGCAGTGCTACAGCCAAACACACAGATCAATAAACTCTCACTTAAAATCAGAACAATGGTGAGAAATGGTGTTTTGCTGAAGGTTGGATCCGACAGCTATTATGTGCATCTTAGCATTGTTGGTGGGAAGGTTACAGTGACATGTAAGTTTGGAAATTCTGGTGAGGATCAGCTGTCTGCTGACTATTATGTAAGTGACAAGAAGTGGTACCTAGTGACCTTCATGGACACATTGGACAATGTCACATTGACTGTCCAGTCAGAGACAGGGGAGGTAACCCATGTTGGAATATCCCTTATTCCCCGACAGAAGTTACGCTCCTTGTCAGACCTGATTACAAGCACGGAAAGTCAGCCCATTAAGTTCGGTCAAGCCTTTGGCTCCGGAATTACCCAGTTCTACCGTGGCTGTGTTAAGGAAATACGACTAGGGGGTATTCTCCTTCCTTTCTTTGAACAGTCATCATTCACTAATTTCTCAACAGTAGAATATTTTGAAGTGATGTCTATGTCATCGATTCCTGTTGGTTGTGTGGAAGGAGATACATGTTTATACCAAAAATGTCAAAACAGTGCCCAATGTTTAGCTGGTTACCATGACTACCAGTGCTCCTGTCTTAGTGGCTACGAAGGTCGATGGTGCGAGACCAACAAACCAGATTGTAATCCCCAAAGCTGTAACTCCAACCATGCAGTGTGTGTGGACCTAGTAGACAACTATTTCTGTGACTGCTACCCAGGCTACACTGGCACCAGGTATGTACTCTACACAATTAAACTAAACATACAAATCAAAAGTAAATTAAAGTACTGGATTTGTTCCCAGTTCTGATAATCTGTAATGATAAAGTTATTTATTATCTGTATTTATAGAAATGCTTTTGTGACAACCCATGTCCCAACTGGGCTGTTGTACAGTGACTTTATGACAATCTGTGTCCCCACTGGGCTGTTGTACAGTGACTTTATGACAATATGAGTCCCCACTGGGCTGTTGTACAGTGACTTTATGACAATATGAGTCCCCACTGGGCTATTGTACAGTGACTTTATGACTATCTGTGTCCCCACTGGGCTATTGTATAGTGACTTTATGACAATCTTTGTCCCCACTGGGCTGTTGTACAGTGACTTTATGACTATTGTACAGTACAGTGACTTTATGACAATCTTTGTCCCTACTGGGCTGTTGTATAGTGACTTTAAGACAAGGTGAGTCCCCACTGGGCTATTGTACAGTGACTATATGACAATCTGTGTCCCCACTGGGCTATTGTACAGTGACTTTATGACAATCTGTGTCCCCACTGGGCTATTGTACTGTGACTAGGTGACATGGATTGACAGTAGCTCAGAACACTTGACATAACACTTAAACTGAGCAAGAAAGAAAAAAGGAAGATTTTATTTCTTCTAATAACAGAAAGATTCTTAACACTAATACCGGATATCAATAAAGTACAAAATCATTATCGGGTATATATGACATCGTTTTCATACAGTGTTAAAGTGAAGGTGTAACCAATACCCAGATGTCAGGTTCTGTTCCACTCTAATCATTGATTTTGCTGTATATTGATGACGGCTACAGGAACATGTTATCCTACCTTATTCTGAGGAACTTCAGTATGTTGATGGATGCATAACAACAAGATCTGCATGTTGTATAATTAAAAAAACAGACATGTATTGATTTTGTCTGTAAATTATACCTGATTTCTTGTTACGGCCTTAATATAAAGAACAGCAATTCAAGATGTCTCCCTAACTACCTGTTCAGCTTTTATGAAAGTTTTTTAGGTATTGTAAAATACGATAAACACATTTTTAGGAACATATTGAGTATTGTATTTGATGTCAGTCTTGCTTTTGATGCTAACTCAGACAATCTGTGTTAATTTTTTAATATAGTGAAAAAGTAGTCCTAATGTAACAGAATTTGGAAATCAGCTTCAGTCGACAACTTATTACTGGTTAAATGTTGATTACTGTAAAATATGTCACTATATAAGTCTCCTCAATACACATTATCACTTGTCATCCATTAAATATACCTATGTAGATATTTTTATGATAATGAAACAAACTCATATATTACATTATGACGTAGCACCAAAATGACTCCGAATGTGACATGCAAAATCTTGTCCCCCTGTGTAGCGTACAAAAATAACATGCCATGTCATGAAAAGAATTTTTAACAACATTGTTTCCTATCCATGTGTGATTTACAAAACTTATATTTTGTTTTATTTAAGTTGCTAGAGGCTAACTAAGAAAGTAGTCTTAGACTTGTTTCAGAGAACTCCTGTTATATGGAACTCATGTAAGAGCCTGTATGTATAGGTAGGTCACTATTAGAGGGGTTCCGAGTTGTGATTTGGAATCACACACAGATGTAAATGTAGCTTCAGGATACTGAACAATTTCATTCTTACTAGACGTTAGAAAGATGACCGTAATTGTCTTCTCAAACCTTGTTTCATTCTGACCCATTTATGTTTTTTTTTGTTTTTTTGGTCATTTGTTTTGGGTTTTTTTTTCCAAAAGTGTCCCAGAAAATTTGTTATATTTGAGAAAAAAAATCTAAATCTTTGATGTTGAAGGTGTAGAAATGGAAAGGCAGTTCCATTGGGGTCCTGTGAGGTATTTCCATATTTGGGAAAAACCCTTATGGCAATTAAAATATTGTTATGGCATCTTAGAGTGATATCATATTAATGTTTGATCTAACGTGAGTTAGGAGTACATTATGATAAAAATGTTTCCTACTGATACATTAGACATATGGAGATGTATGTAACACACTGTAGTCTCCATAATCAACCTACATGTCTGGGTTGACCGGGAGATAGATTTGTATACAGAGGTAGGTCTTAGGTTTGTACTGTTTGTCTACTAGCAAGATAGAGAGATTGTCTGCAAGTTTATTGTCTGTCCACTGCTTAAAGAGAAAGATAGCCCCTAGAATTTGTATTTGTCAACTGGTTAGATAGAGAGATGGGCCTGGGGATATTGTTTGTCCATTTATTAGATAGAGAGATGTTCCCGGGGACATTGTTTGTCCATTTATTAGATAGAGAGATGGGCCAAGGGATTATTGTTTGTCCACTAGAAATAAGATAGAGAGATGTTCTCTAGGATTACTGTTTGTCCATTGGTCAGTGCCGGAGGTTTAAACTTTATCATTAAATATCAGCCTTCAGGGGCTTGTCTATGTGCTTATATACAACAAGAGAACCTTATATATATATATATATATCTCAGAGCCAACAGTTAAATTTTAAACATTTGACATTTATCATTGAAAATATTTTATTTCAATTATGATTGTATCACAAATTATTTATCACTGATAATAATTACACTAAAACATATCAGATATTTCATTAAATTATTATCAAGCTATCTCTGAATTTCCATCATTTTAATTTTATTTCAATATTTTATCATCTGCAAAATGTTTGCTTTGAGATCTAGAGTACTAGACAGCTTAACCTTTGTACAGGCCCCTCCGAATTTGTTCTTGAGGTCATATACTCCTGCTGTCCCCATGAAGATGTCTAATTCCATCCCTGCCGAGTCCAGACAAAATGTCCAACTTTATATGACTTTCTCTACATTAATTTACATCACATACAGAAGGTCAGTCAGCACACAGGTTTTTTTTCTAAGTTGTGAGTAGTTACCTGTGTTTAAGCCCTAGGCAAATGTACCTGGAAGTTATCTCACACACTAAAGGTTTTTATCATCTGATGACTATCATTGTCTGTATGGCAGGTTGCTTCAACTGACCACCACTTCCTGTTAAGCTGGACAGTACTGCTGTTGACATGACTTTGTTGTGATATTTTTACCTGTATTTGATATGTGATGGCCTGGGAATCTAGATAGTGAAGTGGATGGTGTGATGGAAGCTGAATCACATGCTTGTTATTACTTATACTTTTTGGGATCTCCTCGTGATGTGTGATAAGTTGTGATACAGGTAGTAATACAAAATTGAGTAAACTTTTTGGGATTTCCTGCTACGGCTCGTGTGTGATGAGCTTTGCTTTATGGAGTGATACAGTGGGTGTTTGGATTACCAAGGAGACAAATCGGCCCTTTATTTATCACTTTATTGTACAAATAGTTGCCTGTTACCGAAGGAATTCAGAGATAAGCTAAAAATGTCTGTGCTTTATTTACACATTTAGTGTATATGTAGTAGTTACAGGCTTTAGAGACAGCAGTGCTAAAAGATTACTGTACTTTAGCATTTAATCAGCAATAGCATTTGTTAGCTATTTTATACCTTTTAATTACAAGGTCACAGAAAACATGTGGCTTAGTTCAGAACAAGTGTAAAGGCACATTCCAAACTACCTGATCATATATCTGAGCAGTTCACTTACCTGTGGTATTTTTACCTGTCTCTATACACCTGTAACTGTCATTGATCATGTGTGTTGAGCCAGTGTTTACCTCAATATTACCCAGTAAAAATAGGTAAAAACTACACCCAGACATCGACCACCGGTGGCCTGAATCCACGCTCAAGATCAGCATGGCTGCCCCTCTGGTGAGGAGAAAAATGCCAAACACTGTGAGTGGTGCTTTCATATTCAAACACGGAAGGAACTTCTCCTGTCAGTAAACTTGTGTTGGAGACAAGATTATGTTGAAATTAGGTACAGATATTTATGACCAGAGAAGGATCTACTGCCTGTGGTATAATTTCCTGTGTAAAAATCTATTGAAGATTCTGTTGTGGTTGTCTTTACCGGTCACTGTGAACTGTTAGTGCCAGGGATATTAGTGACAAATAGGAAACCTACCTGTTATTTTTACACCTGTTGATTACTGCATGTTTGAGTAGATATGTATTTAAGCTATGAGTATATAAACACTGGCCAGTCAGGAGACAGATTAAAGCTTCTACTAACTCTATTGTCTGACTAGCTCACACCTGATATTTTACCTGGAGATTACAATTGAAAACTGTGGCAGGTGAGATCTTTTATCTGGGACGAACTTGGACTTAAGATCTGAACTGGGCCTTAAGAACTTTGTCTGTAAATCAGTCATTGGTTAGCTTGGAGGTCAGTCATCTTAACAATGTGAACAATCTGTTTTTGAGGTGATATCCTCGTTAGGTGATGACCTTTGAATGTGCAATAGCTTCCTTGGTGATTGTTGAGTACTGGAGGGGCGGGGCCTATTGTGTGTCGATCCCAAAAGTTGTCCTAACTTATGACAAGTACGACAGGTGTCAACATTGTTCCTCAACAACTACCGGTTGAAGGGGCCAGAGTGACAACACCTAACTGGTTTTCTTTGCAAAGTAGCAAACCAGAAGTATAATCGCTTGTTATAAGATATTGTGATGGGAAAAAGCTACTTACCTGTGTGTGTATTACAGCTTTCCTTATTGTGGATTACGTAATTCCGGTATGTAATACAGAGAAGTTGTTACATTTTAGTATTAGACCCAGGTGATATTGGTCACACCTCTAACAGAGAAAGTACAGTCATATTTCTGGATCAATAACAAGCTGAAAAGAGGATTGAACATATGTTATTTATATGGTGACAGTACAAAATTTACCTCATCAGTCTCCACAGTGATTTGTTGGATACGACTTGGATATTTAAAAAAAAAAATTGTTTACCCCGAAATTTTCAAATGATTTATTTGAAAGCTGTGCCTGGTGTGTTTAAACATGTTATAGATTCAGTACCTGATATCTGAGGTAGCATCACTAAAAGGATTATTTGACAGCTGTGTGTGTGTGATACATTCAGCCTCCTGTCATACTGGATGTTTGTGTATATCTGTATGGTGTATTGGTGAAAGTACACCTTGTTTGCATTCCCTAAATTTAAACACTGACGTCAATAGGTTTGACATCTCTGTGTAATACGGCATCTTTACATATGAATCACACATAGAATATATTAGCGTATTGTACATGCAGCCATTTGTGTCTTACTGTTAAGGTACTCTATAATGGCTGTAAAACTTTCACAACGTCGTTGACTTAAAGACGACCTTGACGAACACAGAGGTCTGCTTTTAAAAGTGTGCTCTAATATAGTAGTGTACCACTCTGAGTATACAGGTGTCTTATAACAGCATGTCTGATATGACCTTGACCTTTGTTGGGACATGGGTAGTACTGATGGGCTTGGTCATAATGTTTGCCCCTCCCTCCAGGTGTGAAGCGGCCATCAACTACTGTCAGGATTCTCCGTGTCAGAACAATGGCTCTTGCGGAAATGGCACCGGGGATTACGAGTGTAACTGTACTGACCAGTATACAGGGAAGGATTGTAGTACACAGGTAAGTTTAACAGGTACCTCCAAATGTATGTGTCTTCATATTGTGTCTTTATGTCAGAATGTAATTGAGAATATGTTAGTATGTGATGTAGGTGTCTTCATGTCAATATGTGATGTAGGTGTCTTCATGTCAATATTTGATGTAGGTGTCTTCATGTCAAGATGTAATGTAGGTGTCTTCATGTCAATGTGGGATGTAGGTGTCTTCATGTCAATATGTGATGTAGGTGTCTTCATGTCAATATGTGATGTAGGTGTCTTCATGTCAGTGTGTGATGTAGGTGTCTTCATGTCAATATGTGATGTAGGTGTCTTCATGTCAATGTGTGATGTAGGTGTCTTCATGTCAGTGTGTGATGTAGGTGTCTTCATGTCAATATAAGATGTAGGTGTCTTCATGTCAATATGTAATGTAGTGTGTTCATGTCAATATGTGATGTAGGTGTGTTCATGTCAATATGTGATGTAGGTGTCTTCATGTCAATATGTGATGTAGGTGTCTTCATGTCAGTGTGTGATGTAGGTGTCTTCATGTCAATATGTGATGTAGGTGTCTTCATGTCAATATGTGATGTAGGTGTCTTCATGTCAGTGTGTGATGTAGGTGTCTTCATGTCATTATGTGATGTAGGTGTCTTCTTGTCTCTGTGTGATGTAGGTGTCTTCATGTCAATGTGTGATGTAGGTGTCTTCATGTCAGTGTGTGATGTAGGTGTCTTCATGTCAATATAAGATGTAGGTGTCTTCATGTCAATATGTAATGTAGTGTGTTCATGTCAATATGTGATGTAGGTGTCTTCAGGTCAATATGTAATGTAGGTGTCTTCATGTCAATATGTGATGTAGGTGTCTTCATGTCAATATGTGATGTAGGTGTCTTCATGTCAGTGTGTGATGTAGGTGTCTTCATGTCAATATTTGATGTAGGTGTCTTCATGTCAATATGTGATGTAGGTGTCATGTCAATATGTGATGTAGGTGTCTTCATGTCAATATGTGATGTAGGTGTCTTCATGTCAATATGTAATGTAGGTGTCTTCATGTCAGTGTGTGATGTAGGTGTCTTCATGTCAATATGTGATGTAGGTGTCTTCATGTCAATATGTGATGTAGGCATCTTCATGTCAATGTGTGATGTTGGTGTCTTCATGTCAATATGTGATGTAGGCGTCTTCATGTCAATATGTGATGTAGATGTCTTCATGTCAGTGTGTGATGTAGGTGTCTTCATGTCAATATGTGATGTAGGTGTCTTCATGTCAATAGGTGATGTAGGTGTCTTCATGTCAATAGGTGATGTAGGTGTCTTCATGTCAATATATGATGTAGGTGTCTTCATGTCAATATGTGATGTAGGTGTCTTATGTCAGTGTGTGATGTAGGTGTCTTCAATGTCAATATGTGATGTAGGTGTCTTCATGTCAATATGTGATGTAGGCGTCTTCATGTCAATATGTGATGTAGGTGTCTTCATGTCAATATGTGATGTAGATGTCTTGCTGTCAGTATTGAATGCAGGTGTGTTCATGCGTAGTGTCTTTATGCCACCATGATTCAGATTTCTTAATTTATATTTTTTTATTTACATGTCTGTTTATCATGCTTTAGCTGGCAAAGTTAACTACTTATGTGTATTTATAAAGTTTTAATTTTAATCTTTTATATGGCAATGAATTTATTGATAACACTGTAATAAAAACATTAAGTGTTGGTAATAAATTTCTGACAGGTAAACACCACTGTTGATAAGGTTACATCACACTGTTTAAAGCAGATTTTCCCAGTGTCAGAATGTCCCTACATCCGTGTACATTGTGCAGTCGTAAATATTTATGAAAAATGAAAAGAAACAATTCTCCCTAAGGCTGTTGACTTTTAAACCTATTATGCCTGTGGTGCCGCCATTATGTTTTACAAGTCCTTTGATAACATTGTGCTACCAATAGTGTACTTTACACATATTCATTACATACCAAGGGCGTTAACATAGAATACAGGAGAAACAAAATACACCTTATCATGTAGATCTGAATTATTGAAATTGACAATTTGAATCATGATGAAAATAGGAAATAGTACTCTCAAATTTATTAGTTTCGTTAGCGTTGGTGTGAGCAGGCAGATCAGAGTTAAAAACCATTTAAATTCCATCGTTATTTATGCTAACCGAATATTTTTTATGGCAGCATATAGTTGTCGCTGACTCCATCTGTCTTTCCCTCTATTCTTTTCTTGTCAGGAGCATAGCTTTGCCCACAATGAAGAAAAGATCAAAAGTACCTTTTCTGAAAACATTTTCGAAGCAAATAATTTTTTAACTCTTCATTATTTCTCACACAATTAAAAATACTAAAATATTTATAAACACACATTTGTAATTATCTCAGTGATTCTATCTGACATGTGTGTTAGATATCAGATTGAGTGAAATATGCCTCCACTTTCATTGCTCAAGCATAAGCAGACATAAAAAGATATATGTAACATGTTGAAACTTTATTGATTTATCTTCCAAACTCTCCAATTTAACATATTTTTACAGATATGTTCCGTTACAAAGACCAAATGTAAAATTTACAGATATTTCTTGAAAAATAAATTATTAATTTTTATTTTTTCGGGTGAGGGGTTTCAGAATGAAGGGGGCACTATTAATTTTTTATTTTTTGGGGTGGGGGGGTTTCAGAATGAGGGGGGCATTATTAATTTTTATTTTTTCGGGTGAGGGGTTTCAGAATGAAGGGGGCACTATTAATTTTTATTTTTTTGGGGTGGGGGGTTTCAGAATGAGGGGGGCATTATTAATTTTTATTTTTTTGGGTTGGGGGTTTCAGAATGAGGGGGCACTTATTAGTTTGGGGTGAGGGGTTTCAGAATGAGGGGGACACTCATTAGTTCTACTGATAATCTTGTTTCCTTGTTTTTTTCTTGTGTCTTTGAAGTTTTTTACTGTGTTTGGTTTTTGATATATCATAAACTGTTACAAATCCATCGCTTCTAACTGTATGCTTGAGATCGCTGGTTGTGTGGTGCGGTGGTAACGCCAATAAGATTCACTTAGCAAGAGGCTTATTCTGCGATTTTGTTAGAACATGCTTTCATACAGTTGATCACTGCCCTAATTCTATCCTAAACAACAGGTTTGTTGAAGACCAGCATAACCATGTTACCTATTACAACGTAGAAACCAGATTACCTGGAAAGCATATAGATAGTGGAACAGATGTCCCCATGCCTTTCTACACTGATTGGAAATGAGATCTGTGCTATCATTATAAAATTTGTCGATTTTACCACTGCTCCGGGGTGTTCAGCCATATATTACATATTTATTTCCATTTTTACTTGAACAGAAATATCAAGGCTGTAACACATCCAGTAGTCAATGTCAGAACAATGCCAGCTGTGCTACCATCAATGTGACAGATGCTTTCGGGGTAAGTCTTACACAACACATAGACAATCTGTGTGTCTATCAATGTGACTGACAATTTAGGGGTAAGTCTTACACAGACAATCTGTGTGTCTATCAAGTGTCTAATAATGTGACTGACAATTTAGGGGTAAGTCTTACACAGACAATCTGTGTGTCTATCAAGTGTCTAATAATGTGACTGACAATTTAGGGGTAAGTCTTACACAGACAATCTGTATGTCTATCAAGTGTCTGATAATGTGACTGACAATTTAGGGGTAAGTCTTACACAGACAATCTGTGTGTCTATCAAGTGTCTAATAATGTGACTGACAATTTAGGGGTAAGTCTTACACAGACAATCTGTGTGTCTATCAAGTGTCTAATAATGTGACTGACAATTTAGGGGTAAGTCTTACACAGACAATCTGTATGTCTATCAAGTGTCTGATAATGTGACTGACAATTTAGGGGTAATATTTAGTCTTTTCAGAATCTAAAGTCTTACACTATATAAACAATACATGCTCTGTACAGTTTGAAGAAGGAAACATTGCTGTGCAACTTAATATTTTCAATAGATATCAATATTATGGTCAGTACATTTGTACTAATATGACTGAATATTGACATTTTTATTGTTGTCAAAATTTTGATGAAACTATTGTTATGTGTTTTGAAGCAATCCCGAGTTAGCTTCAACTGCTCCTGTGAGACGGGCTTTGAGGGAGAATTGTGTGAGACAGAAATCGACTACTGTGCTGTCCCGGTCTGTCAGAACAATGGTACCTGTACCTCAGACACATCAGCTGGGCGTTACACATGCACCTGTCTACCAGGTAAGTGCTGTCGTGTGTAAACTTTACTGATATTGATAATGAAAATATTTGAATCTGAAAACTCTCTTAAGTTGTTTCTCTTTCGTGGAAAATCCCAGATCAATCCTCATCGATTGCTGATGTAATATAGGATACATGAGACAAGATGGTTTATGGTTAATTGTTGACAATGTAGGATACATGGGGAAAGGCCCTGACAGGTGGGTGTATGGTTAATTGTTTACATTGTAGGGTACATGGGGAAAGGCCCTGACAGGAGGGTGTATGGTTAATTGTGAACATTGTAGGGTACATGGGGAAAGGTCCTGACAGAAAGGTGTATGGTTAATTGTTAACATTGTAGGGTACATGGGGAAATTCCCTGACAGGAGGGTGTATGGTGAATTGTTAACATTGTAGGGTACATGGGGAAAGGCCCTGACAGGAGGGTGTATGGTGAATTGTTAACATTGTAGGGTACATGGGGAAAGGCCCTGACAGGAGGGTGTATGGTTAATTGTTAACATTGTAGGGTACATGGGGAAAGGCCCTGACAGGAGGGTGTATGGTTAATTGTTAACATTGTAGGGTACATGGGAGAAGGCCCTGACAGGGGGGTGTATGGTTGATTGTTAACATTGTAGGGTACATGTTGGGGGTCAGTGTACAAAGTGTTTTTAAGGTTTATTGTTAAATTTATAGGGTACACCGGAGATCAGTGTGAGACCGACATACAGGATTGTAACGGACAGTGTCAAAATGGAGGGACCTGCATCGACCTTGTCAATGACTATGCCTGTAACTGTACTGATGGTAAGTTTTCTACAATTACTTTATATTACATATGGTGTATGTGATGGTACAAGGGAGATAACTGTGTCGCCTACACCTTCGTGTTTGATTATACTAGAAATCTCATTAAGAAAAGTTGATTGGTTTCTTTTCAATACCCAGATATGGTAGAATCAAAGTTCTCTTCTCATATGGAAAGGTCATGTCTTGTGCTTAATCAAAATTATAAATTTGATGACCCTAGGGTCTCGTATTTCCCCCTAGAGAAGGGGCTAATTTTTCAATAGTTTATACAAATGTGTAGGAGAATTACATTTCTTGGCATAATTTTTTCATTTTTTTCAAACTTGATTAGAATTTTTTGTACAGGATGGCAGTTTAATTATATTCATATATTGACTCTAACTGACCCTCATGGGCTGATGGGCAGTGTTTAAAGGGGTCAAATTGGCTCCAATTTCAAAAATCCTCATGATAACCCTTGATGGGGTCCACTCTGAAATTACAAAAATAGGTCTGTTGATTTGTGCTAGAGATTTAATACATCTTTTTTATTTTTTTTTCAACTTCTTTGGTTTTAAATTAGGTTTTTATCATCAGTTACTAATCCTAGACGATCGAAACAGCTGTATGATGCAATTTAATTCATTATATTGCTCTACTCTATCTAATTCTAAATGAGAGGAAATGGATCTGATCCTGTTATCACTACCTGTAACCTTTGACCTCTCTAGCTGTCACCTTTGACCTCTAGCTGTCACCTGTGATCTCTTTAGCCGTTACCTTTGACCTCTCTAACTGTTACCTTTGATTAAGAATATACCAATGACCGACAGATCTTGTTTGAATGGTAGTCTCACTGCTACCCTTTCTATTTGGCTCAGTACTAACTGGTACCTTTTTGTTTCAGCATGGACGGGTGTGAACTGTACTACAGATATAAATGAGTGTATCCTAACACAGCCCTGCCAGAACAATGCCCAGTGTAAAAACCATAATGGTGGCTTTACCTGTAAATGTCATGGAACCGGTTACCAAGGTAACAAATCTTCTTTAATTCCTTTAATAAGTTTCCTACCTAACTGGATATTTATGATTTTGTCCTGTTTAACTTCTGCCAAAGTAACCATCATCAAGTCAACCAACATATACAGATAGAATAGAAATCTTTATAACACAACCGGTAGATGATTAAAGTGTGACATTTCGATGAATACACGGTCACCTTCTTCAGGCAAATGACCAGTGTGAAGTGTACTAGCACTTACATATGTAGTGTACTAGATGGTAAGGAATCAGCCAACTTTTTTGGCTGTACTCTTATCCTCTGAACATTAAGGTAGAAAATGGTGTGACGAGATGGTGAATAGATTATAGAAAAAAGTACACAAAATTAGTGTACTGTAGTGGAGTTGTCCATGTGTTGTTTAATACTTGATCATGGATGTGTGAGAGTCCATGACCCACTCATCCCTGATTAGTACTGGCCTGCTGGGGCATATCCAGATTGCCTCCTTGAATAATCAACTTTAAAAAATCACAAAAAAACTTTCCTAGCGCCCAGAAATACACATATTGGTATTGAAATCATTTCATATTTTTAAAAATTCCAAAAGGCATTTTACAAAAACTGTCCTTTGTCTAGAAGACCCCAGAGGAGGGGTGAACTTAACTATAGTCTGTATAGGAAAATATTTATATTTTGATATGTTCTGCTATAGTAACCTGCCCATCTAAATCATGTTTACTGCAAGCATTTTAGGGACAATTCATTGTAAAATTGTGAAATGAAGTATCAGATACAGGCAGCCTTGCTGTGAATTTGATGTGTGTTCAGTAATATTAATCTATATACATCCATAAGTAGGTTTATCATCGTAAAATACAGTTCTGTCCTTCACTTAAATACTGTATCCTTGTAGACTGTGTCATCGTCTATCCTTAAACATTAACTATGAATGTATTACAGGGACGTACTGTTCCGAGGATGTGGACGAGTGCCAGGTGGGAATGGATCCCTGTCAGCACAACTCCAACTGTACCAACACCGTCGGCGACTATAACTGTTCTTGTGCCTATGGTTACGAAGATAAAAACTGCAGCACCCCAGACTGTAGCCTGGTCACATGTGAGAATGGAGGAACTTGTGTAGCGACTGATGTATGGAGATGTGACTGTGCCCAGTACTATTATGGTAAGTCATTTGGACCCAACACTTAAAATAAGAGCATTAAAAAGGGACTGCACCACTGAGAAATGTTTCCTGAGAATCTCCTGTATCAGTCACAAGGCTGGTGAACCAGAAGCAAAAAAATTTAAATTTTGTAGGTAATGAACTTTTATCAAATTACACAACAGTTTGAGAGAAAAAAAATTCATGTTAAAAATGTACAGGAGTATGATGGACCAGAAATGGTTCAAGTAATGAGAGTTTCTGATATTTCTTTTAAAAAAAAGAATTTCAAAATGTTTCTTCGCTAACAGATACTCCCACATTGAAGGGAGATAACTCCTTTGTACTCCTACACTATTCAGATTAAAATTTTAGTTCTACAAAGAATTTATTACCAGTAAAGCTAACCAGTCTTAAGGAACTTGTTGTCAGGTAACTTACCTGTCCTGTTAGGAAGACTGACTGCAGATAAGTCGTATTGCCTGAGGTTAGGATGACTGTGCCTGTAACAAGCAGATTTCACCCTAGGGGTATAATGATAACTGCTGGCTTGCTCACTAGGTAGTGACAAGCTTGATACAAAGTGAAACAAAATTTCACACATCAAACCTGAGAGTCCCCTCAATAATCATAGAGTGGGTCAGTTTTGAAAATTAATTTCTAAAAGATTTCTTAAGATTTCAATTAATGTCACATTGATATTTTTCATTTATTAATTAAACATAAATTGCTCTAATTGATTTTGAAGTAAACATTAAGTAACCTTATTGAATATACTGTAGCAAGGACAAAGATATCAGATACAAGTTGAAGTCTGCTAAGTTCACATATTGTGTAATTTAAAACTCTGTAATATTAAGGTTTTTTTATTAGCTGCTATTCAAAATTATCTTGGGGAGTCTCCAGAAACTTTGAAATACAAAAGACGTGTTTAAAAATTACAAGAGCTTACCTTGACATGTACATGGCAAAATGAAGACAGCTGTGCCAAGTGATGGAATGTTTCTGTACCATTTAAACAGTAAAATATGGTACAGTGAGTTTCTCTCTTAATATGGAGTGGTGATTTAGTATGATATTACATGTAATATGGAGTGGTGATTCAGTATGATATTACATGTAATATGGAGTGGTGATTCAGTATGATATTACATGTAATATGGAGTGGTGATTCAGTATGATATTACATGTAATATGCAGTGGTGATTCAGTATGATATTACAAGTAATATGGAATGGTGATTCAGTATGATATTACATGTAATATGCAGTGGTGATTAAGTATGATTTTAATATGGAGTGGTGATTAAGTATGATACATAACATTCAGATGGATAAACAATAGAAGTAAACAAACAGTTGATGCCTGATCGTCCAAAGTCACTTGGTTTATACGATGTTACACTGAGACTTTGTACTGTAATATAGTCATCAAACTTATCAGTGGCCCAATGGTTTTGTCAGTTCCTTAACATCAGTTAAACAAAGTCTGAATAATTTACAGTAAATTTAATTTCGTGCACAATAAATTCGAGTACATTTTGAAGCTAGTAAACCTCTTACAAGCAAGTTCAGCTGTATAAATGTGTACTAAGATTGCCTGCAACAAGAAAATCCTACATGTGACTTGAGGGGTATATAGGGACAGGACCATCAGTTATCTGACTAAGTATGTGTTACAAAATATTTATAAGGCCAGACTCTATAAAATACTTGGTTATTCACCGACTAAACTTGTATACATCCTGGTGTAACATATCCCAGAAAAGTGTAGATTTTTGCTGTGGTCTTAGATGTGTAGATATGCTCCATCTGTCATGTGTTCGGTCAGGTGTGTCTCAGGTCTAACTGTGCACTAAGTGCACGACATGTATGGCTGTGAGTGTTACTGATAGCAGTTCTGTAAGTCTTCAGTGTCTTTACCCCTATTGATCCTAAATCATCTTCCTGTTGACTTGAAACTTGTCCACGCATTGTATAAAATGTACCAGTGTTTGTTGAGAGATATGATTTTACCTGTAGAAAGTTGTGTTCCATGCCATACAGATTAGCATGTCTTTATTTTACGTACCTGTGTTTATAACTAGGCTGAATAGGTACAAGTTTTATTGCTGGGCTACACATTGTAAAGTTATCCCCAGCGTTTACTTTGTTCTTCAACTTTTATTATCACAATATGACTTGATGACCTGACAGGGCAGGGCTCTTAAACCTTTGGATGAGTCTAATCAGATAATTGGTACCGAGTCTCCAAACGCTGGTCATTTGATGAATGTGATGACCAGTGTCCTTCATGATCAAACTGTGGTAGTCTGGGTTTGGTTCTATTGTATAGTACTAAATTTTTGTATTTTACAGGAAACCGATGCCAGAAGGAAGGCCCCTGTCTAAGAAATCCGTGTAACCAGGACAACATCATTGCATGTCACCAAAATGTCACTGGCCCCGAGACTTCATTTACTTGTGAATGTAAACCAGGTCAGTTTTTGTTTAAAAGAAGGGAAAAAATTGGGAAAAAGACTAAGAGTGTTACTTTTTCTATCAGATTTATCTAAAGTTTTTAGACCAATTCAATATCTTGTACACGCTGTCATAATTACTTATTGTGAGTTTGGTATCATAGAACATGGACTCCGAGTGTCTGTCAGTTTAAAGTAAATTTTCTTGAATAAAATTTAATGCAAATTCATCCTGTTACAAATAAATAAGATATTCTTGTTTGACTCACTTAGCGTGATCATCATTATAAATTTGTGAATTTTGGAAGGAAATTATATTGAAGCTAAATTTTCTGTTTTATTTTAAGTCATACAGGTTGTAGATGTCAATTTTTTGAGATTTTACTGTACATTATTATTGGTTATTTATAATTACCATGGAAACAAATAAAACTTACATCACTGATATGATGTGAGTGGTTCTTACCATAAAAAAAACAGTGAGGACATGTATCCCTCCTTAACTCAACAAAGTTTTGAGATTCACCAGAAACTGAACCAATACAATATTGAATTCACAGGATGGAACGGCACAAGATGCAATACTGACATCAACGAGTGTGAATTAGAACCATGTCAGAACGGAGCAACGTGTTACAACTCTAATGGAACTTACAATTGTACATGTCAGGATGGCTACAACGGTAGTAACTGTGAAAATAACATAGACGAATGTGCGCCTGGTCCTTGTCAAAATGGAGGCACCTGTTCTGACCTTGTCAACGGATTCCAGTGTACTTGTACAGAAGGTAAACACACCAGTTTTTCTCTCACATATCAAGGTATTCTTGAGGAGGAATTGGTTTGAATTCAAATTCCTAATTTAATTATCTTCACACATCTTTTCAGAGAAATACATACTGCATTTCATTATTGTCAATAGAAATTTACCACTTGGAATTGCCGCCGACATAATTATAGCAATGTTCGAAACTTGAGTTAGCTTCGGCAATCATTGATTTACATGCACATTTTTTTTATTCCAATGCTGTTTGTAGGCTACACAAACGTAACCTGTATGGAGGACGTAAACGAGTGTGTGAGCAGTCCTTGTACCAATGGGGGTTCCTGTACAAACTTGCCTGGTAACTTCCAGTGTGAATGTACCAGTGAATACATGGGAAAACTATGTGCACAAAGGGTAATTACAAATCTTCCATTCAAATATTTTTGAAAAATTATCAATCGTAAAAAGTTCAAATAAATATACAGTAGAAGTTCTGAGATCGGCTGAAGAACAAAATCAGTATTCCTTTGGAGAAAGGAAAGCAGAGCCCATTGAAAAACAATAAAGAATAAATGTTTGTGTTAATAGTTTGGATTTTCACTTTTTTCCTAAAAGCATGACACAAAATAGAAGTTATGAAAAGGCCAAATCAGTTTTCTTGTTTAAATTTGCTTTTTTTTTTTTAAATATGTATCTGTTTTTCATGCTTTCAATTGATCCTCAAAGAAAACACAAAATCAAACCCCAAGATGAGATATTAGACTTTGTTTCCATGGTCTAGGTTAGACCTGTTTTGTTTTGCTGTATCCTGGAATGAAATCATGATATGCCATATTTCAGAAAAGTATCCAAGATTTCTCACTGAGAAATTCAAGCAAATGTCATTTACGCTCTTTTTTGACATTGATATTCATTTGTTTTTGTTTTCATTTAAGTGATATATGTTTTTGCTGCAGAATCCAGAATACCAGAAAATTGATCCTGATGACAATCTAGCTATTATCATTGGACCGACAGTGGCCGCAGTGTTACTGCTCATTGTTATCGGTAAGTGTGGATTGTCTCCCTTGAAACACTCGGTTTCAGCACTTCCTGTATAACCTTGACTTCTGACATTGAAAACGGGTATTATGTATTTGAAATTTAATTTAAAGCAACAAAAATGTAACAAAACATATTTTTATTTTAGTTTGAATATAGAACACGATAATGTTTAAAGAGTTGATCAAGGCGTACTTAATGTGATATGGTGAAGATTAATCTTAACTTTAAGTGGGTTTTTTTCTGAATTTCAGGTGTCATCATATTTTTGGTACTTGCACGAAGTAAGCGTGCTACTAGGGGTCACTACAGTCCAAGTCGTCAAGAGGTCACAGGGTCAAGAGTAGAACTTGGAAACGTAATGAAGCCACCCCCAGAGGAACGTCTTATATGAAACACGTCTTAGATATTTATTTACGAATAATATTTATTATAACACGGCACTCTGCTTACAGTGGAATGCCGAGTAATAGGAAGGAGCACATTTCGCCTGTACCTAATTACATCAGCTGACATCCCTGGTGTTGTCAGTCCTGGTCATTCAGTACCAGGTGATTGTGTGTCTTTGTGGTGCTAAGCAGGGGATGTATTTGTTGAACAAAAACAAAACCCTTGGTAACTAGGAAATGGATATCTCCCAACAAAAAAAGGTCCAGATATCACCTACAAATCTAGGAAACGGATATCTACTTTGGGGATGGACATATCCAAGGAATTCAGTCTTGATATCCTGTAGAGACGTTCCAAGTGAGATTTGTCTAATAGGGACAGGTATATCCCTTACATATCAGAAAGGATTTACAGATATTTCCTTGGAATCAAGTGAGATTTGTCCGATAGGGACAAGTGTACCCCTCACATATCGGAAAGGATCTACAGATATATCTTTGGAATTGGATGGTACATGCTTGGCTGACAAAGTCACATCCTAGAAACATTAATGACAAAACAGTGTTACCTGGGAAACAATTTATTTTGAATAAACAAACATTATGCAGATCGTTGGAATATTATAAATGGCAGTTTTCCCTACTATAGATTGTTTATATATGTCAAATATTGCCAAATTTAGCTGCAATGTATCATGGTTTAGTCTACGCAGTTGTTGGGAACTTATGGAACACAGAAGACTGCCAGATCTGATGGCTGGTGCGGGAGGAAAAAGTCGATGCTAGACAGAGGATGACAAGAACAGTTAAATCAGGAGAAAACATAGTGCCTAAGTAGTATTAAATGATCTGAATCAAAGTGTCCATTTCAGTGAGAGCTGAGGTGATGTCGTATTCAGTCAGAGCTGATGTGTTGTCGTTTTCAGTGAGAGCTGAGGTGTCGTCATTTCCAGTGAAAGCTGATGTGTCATCGTATTCAGTAAGAGATGAGGTGTCGTCGTATTCAGTGAGAGCTGATGTGTCGTCCAATTAAGTGATAGCTGAGGTGTCACCCAATTCAGTGAGAGCTGTTGTGTTACCCAATTCAGTCAGAGCTGATGTGTCGTCCAATTCAGTCAGAGCTGAGGTGTTGATTACGTGTCTTCCAGCACACAAACAAACTGCTATATGATTAAAGGATGCCAGGAAATCAAATTTAATCAGTGTATTGATAAAGTTCAGTAGCTGTTTTGGTTTACTTTATTTTACATGTAGATAAATCATTTCATCATTTTTTTTTATTCAAAATTCAAAATAAGTTTAAATATTGCTTGGAAAATGTAGTTCCTTACATTTAGTGTCGCTCGGCGGTATAATGAAGACTGGAATACGCACAAAACAAAAAGGAATGGATTGTACCATAGTATCATGAATATGCAGATGATGAAACAACTTGTGGACAATAATCTTGACCGTGAGTCTGCATCTTAGAGTGATGGCTTGGTACGTGTTTTATACGATGGCCTTCTGACGGCTGGTTTTAACTTGTTCCTGTTTTCTAAATCTGAATTTTGTAGCGATCCATTCCATAATGGTGAGACTGTGTGCAAGCTTTTAAGTGCTATTTATCAGAAAACATTCCCTATAGATTTTTTATTTAGCAACGGTAATGATTATATTTGTTCTAGTGTAATGATGTACAGCTGTTTAAATCTGTAGATTGTTGCCATCCAACAGGTCACTGTTATAATACGTCTGTTGAAATATATGATTTGCCCTAATGACTAGTTGTTATATAAGATAATGATACTCTGCTGAAATTGTTTTAATCATGTCTTGTTTTAACGGAATAGTACATGCGGGAGATTTGTGTCTTCAAATCTGTACATCAACATTATAGTTGTATCTCAGGTCGTAGCAAGTCTGTGGACAGAAATATTTTTGGAGTGCTCTTTCTTAAATGTGTCCATTTTTATACTGTCCAATTTGTTTTACACGAGGAAAGAGGGATTTTTGAACTATTGAAAGAAAAGGCCATTTTTATATTGGTTAGTTAGTGATGGAATCGTGTTATGGCTATAGTTCAAGAATTTGTCAACTACAGAAATATTTTTGTTGCAGTGTCCTCATTTGATACCAGTCGTAATTCACGTATCTTCATCTCAGTTGCAACAACAGCAAAAATTGGATGGTAGACATATTTCTCATATCTTCATCATTATCATCAGCACAACAATTTTACTTGTCATACAGATGGTTTAGTGTAATTTTGGATTCTCTTAACAGAAGAGTTCGAAACTAATGAAATAACTTGTAAACTTGATCAGTTACACCTTGTAATGATCATATAAGGAAAGACTACAATTACAAACACAACAATATTTATTGGTTCATTTAATTATGACTCAAGGGAGGTAATTCAAACCTAAATCAAAGTATTTGTATGGCAGCATGCTTCCTTAAGGCAAGTTATAACACTTCTGTAGTCGACTTTCAAATTATTATACTTAAAGTGTTTCTTTCTTTTTTTTTTTTCTTATCATTTTTTTGTACTTTGGCTCTTTAGAACTTTACAAAACATATAAAAAAGAAATATTTGAAAGTAAAAACTTTGTGTATTATTTATAAATACCATCGTATTTCATTGTCTACAGATGTGCTTTATAAAAAGATGAAATATTTTTTTACGAAAGAAATGTATGATGTTCATACAAAATTACGTAAGTATGAAAGTGTGTACTTTTGTATATAGTATAGATGTAAATTTCATTGATGTCAGATTTCTGTATATAGATAATACAATCATCAATCGACATAGCTGTAAGATTTGATCATGTAAACAAGACTGTGATATATAATTTCAGATTGATATTTAATCCTTTTGCCTGGAATATTTTTATCATTCGCCATTGTGAAACAGAGTGTGATAAGACATGATTGTTGGTATATAGGACATATTGAAAGTTTTTATGCGAGAGCAGATATCGGTGTATCTGTTAATACCCTTTCCTTTGAATCATGTTTCCTAGCGTTGCCGATTTCTTATTGAATCTTCGCTCTATCTAAAGGCCAAGACAGTGGCAGCGTCCGTCTTTGTTACAAGTCCTCGAACTTGCCATGATGATACACAATCATTTTTATCGGTTGAATTGTTCTCAGACCGTAAAGCCACGGGGAGGAATAGCAGTGATACGTGTATATATCCTATTTCCTTGTCACGGTTCAATAACAGACTTTTTTTGTTAAAATAACAGATGTACCGGACAAAAATTATCTATACAAGTAATCGGTCAATGATATGTAAATTAGCGTTCTATTTCATTCCTGATGCAACAGTATATTTAATAATACACTGCTGGAAATGAAAGGATTATCCCTGAATTATTTACTCTTCAGATTTCAACTGGTGCTCAACTTCATGACAGGAGATACATAATTAAACTGCTAACACCTTTTTAACGCAATTTCTATCATCACTTGTAAAATTCAATTTTAAAACGAAATTTTGTTTAAAAGTTTTCTTATTGCTATATTGAATTATCTTGATCATGAATATGCTTTGGAAATAGAATAAATGTTGGAAGATTATAATTTTACCAAGCTGTTTAATTTAGTGTCAAACACGCAAAAATATTTTGTCAAATTAGACTAATTATTCAGAAAAATTTTCCCAGATCTGAAGATACGTAATATTTAAATATTTAGAGAAAATGTGATAATATTTACAGTGGTATAATGTTTATACCTCTGGTATGTGTTATTTAAGTTTGTGCTAGAAGAGTTCTGTAGTATATGGCCAGTGTTTGATATTTTAAATGTGAAGATAATGTAGAATACCAGGCTTGCCTTAGAACTGCTCTAGTGTAGCCATGTTTATATCATCCGAGACGGTTAAAAATGTTGGTGCTAACCTGTAGACACTGACATCTATTCATTGGTTGTGATCTCGAAAACATATCAGTCCATGTTCTTGGAAACGGATTTTACAAAATAAACTCTCATTGTATGTTGTATGTATTTATATACAAGAACCGTTCCATTCATTTACAAAATGGATTTCAAGGGAAACAACTCTTGACAACATGTACTCGTAGATCATACATTTACCTTGATTCTAACACATATACATATATATATATGAAATGTTATTAAGCAAACAGAATAAGTCAGAATTGATTTTGAATACTTAGATTTATCAACCAGATGTATCCATACAAATGGTTTTATCATTTTCATATCGTTTTCATTGATAGATTTATGGTTGTACAAAAATAGTTTCATTCGCTGTTGAAGTATTTCATTAATTAATTTTTGTTTTTATAGTCATTCCATTACAATTTTGCACTAACCTGCTACAAGTACTATTTCTCATTATAGTACATCTTAACACATAACATCTCATTTGTTATAAACACAGATATCAGGTAATATCTGTTTCTTTGTAATGATAGAGCTAATTACATCGTGGAGGTATTGGGACATGGATGGGATTTTTTTTTGTGTGGGGGAGGGGGGGGGGGGTGTCGAGGATTTCGGATAGGATAGTGTATAATATGAAGAGTAAAAAAGTACCATTGTGTACATTAAGTATCATATTTACTGAGTAATAATACATATGCCACTTGCCAATGTATAAAGTTTCTGTCATGTAAATATTTTAACTAATTTTAATCATGATAAAATGTTTATATGTCCAATTTCTGTTTTCTTAATTGTGTAACACTTTGAACTGGAATATTTTACCATGGAGTCATCACACACCATCACCTATGCAAATTTTACTTTGTGTAAGCTATAGAACCACCCCACAGAAACCTTGTGGCTGTGGGAGGCAGTCAGAGCCACCCCACAGGAACCTTGTGGCTGTGGGAGGCTGTCAGAGCCACCCCACAGGAACCTTGTGGCTGTGGGAGGCTGTCAGAACCACCCCACAGGAACCTTGTGGCTGTGGGAGGCTGTCAGAACCACCCCACAGGAACCTTGTGGCTGTGGGAGGCTGTCAGAGTCACCTCACAGGAACCTTGTGGCTGTGGGAGGCTGTCAGGGTCACCCCACAGGAGCC